CAAAAACATCAAATATCTAGTAAATATCTCCACTTATTGTATATGAAAAATAAAATCTGTAAAAATCTATTAAATATTATAACAATCGTGATATTGATAACTGTCTTATTCAGTGTAAATGCAAATCAAATAACCATAGTAACAATATATGGGTCATTAATGCTATAACTTATAAAAGTTGCAAAGTATTGAAAAGTCTGCTATTTTTATCAAATAGTTAAGTGTATAAAATTATAGCTATTATTCACATTTTGCACTATTATCTATTAGTTGATAAGCAAATAGGTATACATAAAGATTTATCAAATCATAATATATAACTTTATCAATTTATTTTATCTCTTTTCTACAAAATTCAAGAGAAAGTTATAAATCATTCTATTTTTAATTATCTTTTAATGATAATGTGAAATAATAGTTAAAATAATAATTATTTGGAAAAAAATATAATCAATCAAAGATGAAGATTTTTTATCTATTGATTAAAAATCACTGAAGTTTGTGTTAAAATATATAAACAAATTTGTATAACTTCTTTATATTGCTAAAATGTTTGTTTTTTTATGTTAACACCAAAAAGCCAAATTTTTTAAACTTCATATTGAAGTTTAAAAGAGAATTATAGGAATTTTATATGGATTTTAAGGTTAATAATGTGAAAGCCAATATTAGAAAAAAACAATAATCATACTGATTAATGTTTTGTTGTTATTTACTTAAAAAGATCTCTCTTTGCACATAAAAATATATCAAAATAGAACAGAATTGATTCTATGATATGCGCTTTACCTTAAACTATATTACAGAATATATATTTAATCCCATTCTACATTTTCTGTTGCATATTGCATTTGAAAACAAAAAAATGTTTCCTGGTATGGCATTTATGTTAAAATTATAACTGTAAAGGCTTTTTGAGTCATTATACCTTATACTACTTACAGTAAAACAAGTACTTGAAGTAAAACAAGAAAAATTATATTTGAGAAAGTTATTAAACTTTACATCATCAACATGTTTCAGATTAATAATTTGGATAATTAATAAACAAAGAGACAACAGTTTCATATTTATAGAAGTCTTAAAATTAGAATTTTTTATAGTGTTAAATTTATCATCATAATATAAATTTTTTCAACATTTTCTAGTAAATTAAATGAAATTTAGAATATTTCTTTTAATCATTTAATTTGGAGAATTTTTCAAATCTAAAATATTTTAAAATATAAAAAAGTTTCTTTGTATTGTGAAAATTTTATATATATTCACAATACAAAGAAATAATATTATATACAGTTATCAAAATAAAAATTACATTCTTCTTAATAATTTGATAGTCACATTTGGAACCAAATTTTGGGAATTTGTTATGGAACTAACTCTAAACATGCCACAACATATTTGAAGAAATAAGTAGTCAAAGATTAAAGAGCATCTCATTTAACACAAGTGAAGGGAGGAGGATCAAAATGCTTGATCATTCATTCTGTTTCACCCATAAACATTCAATAAGTTTCAAATCTAGTAAGTTCAGATATAAAAACGTTTAGAATACTTTCAGGCATGTTCAAATTCAATATTTATAGTGACATAATGAATTTCCTTATTAGAAATTAGAATATACTATCATTGATCAAAAACATAAATGCATACAATACAAAAAGCCACCACATTATTTTCCAAGAATTTATAACTGAAGTAACTCCAAATATGGACTAGTATTAGAGTTGTTTCAGTTATGACTGTTCAGAAAATAATTTGCTGGCCTTTCCAGTCTAGTACATCCCAACAAGAGTTTCTATATTATAACTACTTGATTGAAAATACACATAGTACTGTAAAAATTTAGTACTGTTTTCTTTAAATACAGTATCTATTGTATCCTCGTAATACAATAGAAATCTGAACATGAAGACTTGTCAATCATGAATATCTTAAATTGATATTAATAATATTAATATTTCAATTTTGAAATATTCAATATTAAACCAACTATATTTTTTTGTGTTGATTTGCAAAAAGTAGATAGACTATGGATGTAAACAATCTGTTCACTATCTGCAGTAGAGTATAACATAGTTCATATCAAAACCAATCTCTCTAGTTTTGATATGAAGTATACAGGATGAATGTGTATTATCATGGTGTACAGGATGAATATGGTATTAAGACAACCATTAATACCATATTTACAACTATCAACTCTCCTGACAGCCTGGATGCATGAAACTTGAAATTTTCAGAGTAGAATGCATTAACTATAAGGATGTGGAATTTAAGGAAAATGCTTGAAATGTGTGATTACCAACTTCTCCTGAAATTATTTTAAATTAATTTTTGAGTCCTAGTTTTAATTTTAATATCTGAAAGCAATAAATTTCTTTCTTGATATTAAAAAAATATACATTTTAATCATCAAACATTGCTTACATTGGTTACTATTTAAATATTAAATCAAATCTGATAATGGCTAGTAAAGGGCTAAAGAATGTTTAAAGATTAAACAATTTCCATTCAGTGTTGATTTTTAACAGACAAGTGTCTTTCAAGCATGCAGTAGTCATTCATCTCATCTTTTTACCATATAATAACTGTTCATTTTTATTTACTAAAATAAAACTGCTTTTCATTATTTTTACCTGTAGTTTTAGCATCCTTTTTCCATTCTATGAACATTTTTACTATTAAGCATAGGCATAATTAACAGATGAAATATATTTAAAATACATGTACTAAAAATCATCATTTTAAGTTTGAGTTATACATTTGATGTTTATTTCATCTCATAAACTTGAAACATTTGTTCCATTAAATTGCAAGTCTTTACATTTGGAATACAAAAAACTATGATTTTAATTTCTTTTCCAAATCAATTGAATTCAAAAAAGATATCACTTTATTAAAAATTGATATATATATATATATATATATATAATGAAAAGGATTTCACAGTTAACACCATGTAAAAAGTTTGTAATTGTTGCTTTGAGTGTTGAATGTTTATCATCTTGTGAAACAGTGAACCAACAACTCACAAATCCAATAGTTGAAGGCAAATGAGTGCCAAATTATTGGACTGTAAAATGACTATTAATAAATAAGTTGTTAATTAATTAATACATTTTGTAGAATGATATTTATAAAGATAAACCAACAACAAGTTGTTCAACTTTCCTGGCAACATTTCAAATTTTGGTGGCACCATCTGTTATCATATTTTATTTAAATTTTTTTTTTTATACTTTTAACTGTCATAAAATGGCAAAAAGTTTAATTTTGAGGGTAGAGGCGAGTTTTATAAAAAATTGTAAATGCTAATAATGAGTAAAATCGTCATCAAGTCTAACCCTATTGGAGATACATATGACCTCCATTATGTCCCCACCCCCTTGATCTTTAACCACCAAAATTCAATAGTCTCAATCTCCCTAACAAACAAACATCCCTACAAAATTTCAGAAATTTTTGACAAAAGCACAGAAGTTATTGAGCTTCAAAAAGGGTGAACAAAATTGTGCCCCACATACACACAAACATCCATACATACAGAAATTTCCCCTGAATTTTTTTGTATTTCTTGACGTTTCAATGTCCTAAATTCAAAAATGTAAAAATGTTGGGGGAGATAATTTTTTTGACCAATCACCATACTTTTCCTCTGTTATATATCAATATAACAGCCGGGAAAGTAAAAACTGTATATAGAAAAAGTCTAAAAAACAAATTTTGTTTTTAAAACCACCATGAAAAATTTATGTAGATTTTAATGAATGATAACAATAATTTTAAAATTTTCTATAAAAGTTTTTAATTATTAATATCATTTATTAAATTTTTTTGTATTTTTGTTTCAAGTAATATACAGATGATTAGTAGCAGAATATGTTTAAATTAAAAATCAATATTTAATGTGATGATGAATCATTCAAATGTGAAAGAATTTCATATTTTACATGTACTTGCATATGAACAAGTGCACAGTAAAATTTCCCTAAGGCCTTCATGTTTGAAAGAGATTTTGGACTTTTGTAGAGGACTGGAAAACTATTTCAAGAATAATAAAATCTCTCTCTTACTTATCTGCAATACTTAGGAATAATTGTTAATTAAAGGTACAGTCAAGTATGCTATTATTATTATCTTACAATATAATAGGTCAGTGGCAAGGGGGTGGTAGGAAGCAATGGAAACACTACTTTCCCTGCAGCACATCTTTACAATTTGTTAAAAATTAAATTATTTCATTACTCAATTTCAAATAAATTTTTTCTGAAAAATGGAGCCCCGGCTACCCCATTGTGGACCTGGCCAAACACACAATGGTATTGTCTAAAAAGGCCGTCTTAGTGCCTACAGAACGGAAAGTTAAAAAAAAAAAAAAAACTCTTTACTGGTTAGGTGCTTCCACTAGTTTCGAACCTACGCCCCTGGAATAGATAATCCCCAAACTTATAAATTAAAAGTGATCATAGTCAGTGGGTTTTTTGATTAACAGGTAGTGATAGACAGGTTTAAACTTAAAGAAAAATAATTTGTTTAATTCTGTTTACAAAAGGTTTGGTTTCTCATAGATGTGATCTCATTATAGAGATGATGTGGTTTTGTTTTTTTAATTAAAATATTTAAACATTTTGTATTTATAAAAATATTTAAAAGTTTATTTTCAGGATTAATAAATGATATCAATGATTTTAAAATTTCTGATTCCTACTTTGGATAGTTTTGGTGAATTATACATTATGAATCCATGAACGTTACTGACTTCATAATATCAATTCTAAGCACTAATCTTATTAAAACTTAAAAAAAAAAGATCTCCATTAATATTAACATTTTATTCACATTAAAGTAAAAAATGTCAAATAAAAGTGAATGAACTTTGTAAATTATACATTAAACAATGAAATATTGAACAAAATGGCACAGAAATAAGTATTTTCAAAAATGAAAGAAATTATTCTACATGTTCATTTCTCTTGAAAGTCATCAAAAGAAAAAAAATCTTTTAAAACCAAATGTACATTATTCTTGACAATTTGAATATCTGAAAAAAATTAATATAATAAATTTCATATTAATGTAAAATGTAGCGTTAATTCAACACTAGTTTTAATTTGTAATAACGATCTAGATATTAAAAGGAACATATGATAAAGATGTTCTCGTTTTATTAAAAGGTTGACTATGGAACATTTAATTTATAAATAATCCACTTCAAAAATATCAGGTAATCACATGGATCTTTTTTTTTCTTTTAAATTTATATTTCATAAAATTAAACAGCACAATGATGAAATGTCTGCAGTTGTTTACATGAAAAAGTAGAAAATAATCATTACATTTCCTCCTTAACAAAATGCAACAAATATAAAACATTTGAAATAAGCATTTTGATGATGATTTTACTATGAAAGATGAATTTATGCAACAGAATCATCAAACTCTGCTTCGTGTAACATAACTTGAAATCTGGCCATTAAAAATGATTTCTTTTTGCCATCCAATTTTTTCAATCTTTCAGCTAGACTATGGCAAAAGTAATCAACGTCATCCATTCGTTTCTTTTTTCTTAACATAGCTCTTAATAAGCCTTTAGGATTTCTTTTTCTTTTATTTGGATCAGTTTCTTTGTCATCCTCATCTTCCTCCTCATCTAATAAAAATAAAAATGAATTAAATAATAATTCATTATTATATTTATTTTCTTACCTGGAGAATTTTTGTTAAAGCACCTGATATATGTGTGTCTAATGAGTCGCATTCCATATCGTCAATTTGATCATCATCTTGACCAGCTGAGAGTGAGTTATTTGGATCTGCATTTGAACTAGGAATAAAAGTTTCATATTGAAACAAAAATAGCTATTATATTAAAATAATATTTAAAATATATTTAAATAAACAATATTTACGGTTTATGTTTTACATGATCCTGAAGAAAAGATAAAATAGGATAGAGTTCCCAAGAAGTTTCTGGATTTGCAGAACCACTTTTACAACTTTTGTTTTGTAGTTTCACATATTTATCTCTTATAGATTTCCATTTTGCTTTACATTCTTCAACTTTTCATTATATAGAAAAATATTATAATTATTAAATACTATAATCACATATTTACTATATATTATAATTACACTTCACTATTATATTATAACTTTTACTATTTATTTTTTTTATTTATTTATCTAAATATCTATTAAATTTATCTGAATATTAAATTTTATTTGTAGATAGTTTTCATTATTTTGATATTAAAACTATTCTATTCTAATTAAAAATTGTAATTGTATTCACTCACACACTCACACACACGAACACAAATATAATTAAATAAAATATTTAATGTGCTTTACAAAATCAAAAAATCTTCTATTTCTATAGTAAGTTTCTATAAAAGAAATTTAAACAACACAGAGCTCAGTAAAATAATTCAAATTTTATAAATGTGACTAAATACTAATTGAAAATACACCAAAGAATAAACAAAATTTGAAAAATTACTGTTCATCAATTAGATTTAATTTTCAATATAAATATCGGATATTGTTCCATATTCAACAATAAATTAACCTTTATTTTAAATTTTTTATTATGTAAACATAATAGAAAATTTAAATAAATATTGTTCAAAATCAAATGGAAATGAAAATTATACATATGATAACTCATGAAAACAACATATATTTTAATTCTTCTAATATCACAACCAAGTTCCAAATATACAGAATAGAAAATAATACATATCATAGAACAGGAAAAGAAAACTAAGAAACATTCTATAATATTAATTAATATAGTTACCATCACAAACTAGCACAACACTGTTTTAGAAATTAATGGTGGGATTTTTTGTTGATTGACTTTAATCAAAATATTAAGAACTGTTTTTCCACTACTTAAAATGATCAAATAATAAAAATTAATAATATTAAAGTATTATCAGTTTTCTTTAAATAGTAATTTATGCTATCATAATTATGCATAAACTAACAAATTCACATATATTAATAAATGTTTGATTCCTAATTTTCCATTTCAAATTTATATTTAGAAAGAAATAATCATTACATAAAGTCACTTAATGTTATTCACATTTTTCAAATAATCTAGAAATTTTATATTAAGAATAAATTTGCAAATGACTAGGGAAAAAAAATTTACAAACTACAATATTTTGACATGACTTTTAAAGAAATTTAATTTCTAACAACTTATATCAAAATTTTAATATATTTTTCATACAAAAAAAAGGAAAAAACTACAAGTTGAAGCAATATAACTCAACAGTAAAAAATATTTCATTAATGAATCCCAATGGACAAAAATATGCAAAAATTTACTAACCTTCTTTATGGCAAAGAAATACTATTATTATAAATGTAACAACAATCAACAGACGCTTTAATTTTTACTCTATTAAAACATAGACTAATTAGGTACTTTTTTTAGGAAGTTTATCATTCATCTGATAAAGTAAAACATTTCAAATATTGATTACTGTATAAGTTTTGCAATGTCATTTCTGTAAGAAAGACCGAAATATTTATTTTATATATTGCATAATCTTGGTTTAATATATATTATTTTTTATAATTGTAAAAAATTCTTCCATATTGTAAAGAAAAAGTTCTAAAAAATCCAGAACAAAATATATTTCCTAAAACATATTGTAAAAAATACAAATAATACACTTATACAAATAAAAAAAAGAATATTCTTGTTGTCTTCCTTGTCGTCCTTCTCGCAATCACAGGAAACACGATCCACATTGGCAGAGTCGACCTTTCCTTATAGGCTACTTCCTCTTCTATAGCTATGCAAATTGAGTAAAAGTTCCATGACTTTGGATATTTTCCGACAGGGAAGACTACAAGAATATTTTTTACATTATGTTTTACAGAAAAAAAAAATCTGTTTCTCTTCACTCTTACATACACTAGAAATTGATTCAATCCAATTTTAAGATATTATATGGAATGCTCTCAAGTTGTATTAAATTGAAAAATTTTCTCGCAAGTATCAAAATTTAAAAAAAAGTATGATCAGTAAATAATATTTTTGATGAATTTCAAACAAATCTGATTTAGTTATTTTGAGAGAGAATAAAAGTAACATTAAACACATGCATACAAAAATCAAATTTTATTTCCATATATTTAAAATAAGATGATTATAAAAAAATTGAAATGTTTTTAATAAATATTGTTCTGTAATTTTTAATTTTTTTGTTTTATTCTAACTTCTATAATAAATTAACTAATAGACAGAGTTAATTAAAATTTTAATCATTATGCTTCACTCTTGAGGAGGATTCTGGAATTTGTACTATTTCCAAAAATACGGGATTTTCAAAACTTGTTAAAATTCTACTTATAAAAAAGCTAAATTTCTTAAGTGCACATTTTCATTTTGATAAATATAAACTTTATTATGAGGTATCAGTGTTTATATATGAAATTTTATTCCAAACTTTAAAGAAATTGTTAAAAAATAAACATCTTTATTCTTTAAAGCATTTCCTATTCCACATGATAACTACTGTACTTACTTTTTTCTTATTATAAAACTAGGTACAGTACATTATATATATATATATATATATAACTCCTCTATAATTTTTGATTAAAGACAGATCTGTGGAATTATTGGGCTATAATAAGACAAATTAATTCATATCTAATTATTAACTTACAGCACAATAATTCGGCAGCTTGTCTGGCTTTAGGATACGTATTTTTTTACATTTCAAGAATTTTTTCTATTTTGAAAAGCATAGAAAATAAAAATAGTCTTTAATCAATCCAGGACATTGAATAACTGATCTAATAATATCTTGATCAAGGATAAAAGATATCAATAACAAAGATTCATTTATACAGAAAGCAACTGTATTATTATTTTTAAATGTAACTAAATATCATCAATAAAAATTATTACAGTATTAGCAAGTAGAATCTTATTAAAATATTTTAATAAATTTAAAAACTAAAATATGTATAAATTTTCTATTTTGAGTAATCATTTACACAGTATTTTTTATATAAAGTATTCACTCACACACTCACACACACGAACACAAATATAATTAAATAAAATATTTAATGTGCTTTACAAAATCAAAAAATCTTCTATTTCTATAGTAAGTTTCTATAAAAGAAATTTAAACAACACAGAGCTCAGTAAAATAATTCAAATTTTATAAATGTGACTAAATACTAATTGAAAATACACCAAAGAATAAACAAAATTTGAAAAATTACTGTTCATCAATTAGATTTAATTTTCAATATAAATATCGGATATTGTTCCATATTCAACAATAAATTAACCTTTATTTTAAATTTTTTATTATGTAAACATAATAGAAAATTTAAATAAATATTGTTCAAAATCAAATGGAAATGAAAATTATACATANTTTAACGTTAAAGTGCATAATTTTAAGTAAACTGTTCGACAATAGTATTTAAAAATAAAATTTAACAACAATTTTAACATTTTCTAGCCATTCAATACCATCAATTCTACTTATAAATTTTCTATTTTGAGTAATCATTTACACAGTATTTTTTATATAAAGTTATTAACAATGTATTCATTTATAGTAACTACTATTTTATAGATTATCAGGTACACCTTCGATTACCGGTTCTTCCAATAATTTCAGCTTAATTTGTTGGCACGGACATTGATCAACATTTATTTCTTTGATCAAATGACGTAACTGTTAAGTAAAAATAGTCTGGGCTAAACTTACCTCAGGAACCGACAAACAAACAACAAATATCAAATGCTCAATGACATAATTATAGTTTATCACAACTTTTAACATTGAAGTCTTCTTAAATTACATATCCATGTTATAAAAACATTCATTTTTTACTTGTTTCTTTAGTCTATAATTGTAAAAACTAACTAGTAACCATGAAAACTATCATTCTTTCTCTCTCTCTCTTTTTTTTTGATGGATACAAAACATATCATTGGTCAAATTTCCGATATACAATATAAAGATTTAGCAATTTTAATCTATAGAAGCTTCTCTCTTCTAAATTGATATAAAAACGATTCAGAAACGTGGAGTCATTGCGACCGGATCGAAATCCACGTGATCGCAAATAGCTAATATAACAATCGTTACTTACTATTAACAGATCTAATATAGCAAATGGTAGGCTTATTATCCTCAAAAAATTACGACTAAATTATTCTAAACATTTATAAAAAAAATTAATACTCGCGTTTATAGAAAAAAATGCAGGTTACACAAATATTTATGAACGGTTTATGTATAAGAAACACCCCCATTCACACAGCTAGCATCTTACAATATATATATATATATACAGTGAAACCTGTGTAAACCGGACTCGTATGGTGTAGGTTTGACAGGTTTCCGTTTCGAGCAGGTTATTTTTAACATAAAATTGCTTCGTTTCTAAGAATTTTTCCCGTTTTATTAAGTTTCCGCTTTGACAAGTTTTACTGTATATAATTAATTAACAGCAAGTTAATTCTTAATTCAGTCACTCGATTTGCATAAAATAATAATAATAATAAAAAACTTTGACTAACTTCAAAATGGCCGAATTCGATAATGTTGTATCTATCTTCCGCTTACTTCGCAACATCGTATAAAGCGAAAAATATATGATTCTGGATTTTATCGATTAAACAAAAATCCAGAACAGCATTTTTCGTATTATTGCTTCGCAGTTCCTAGAAAAACGCGTTAGAAAGTATCCGCCATCATTTCCGGAAAGCGTGATTGATAGGTCGACAACAATAATAAATTGTTTGTGATACAACAACTAATGTCACTCTTAGGTATAATCTAAAATGAATGTTCGGACATATTCTACAGGAATTCTGATTTTGGCACCATCAGTTACATTTGGAGCAGTAAAAAAAAATTACGCCAGGTTCCTAAGATTAATTTATCAATACTTTTTGCTTGAATGAAGTTTTGTTCCACATTAAATTCTTTAAATAAAAGGAAAACGACGAAGGCATTAAACGAAACAGAAAAAAAATCCGTATTTGTTATATTGAGTTTATACAC